TGACACGCTGATGCTGAGACTTGCAATATTAAGAGTGTATGAATGTCTGAGATGTACTTAGTAACTTTTATTTGCTTGCCTGGCTATTACAAATCTAAATTAGCTTGTAACTCTCATAAATCCTCTTTTTCATGATGTAATTAGGCCCTTCCACTACTGTGCAAAGTAAGCCTCCTCAATTTCATATCCATAAATCAGACATAGTTCTAGGACTGCTTCCACCAACCCTTCTGCAGCTAGTGAGATTGTTACCATTTGTTGGTGTTTATCATATTCTTCCGAGATTTATACTTAGCTTCATTTAGTTTCATTTTCTTCCAAGAGCTATGCTGTATCTTATTTCACTGAAGAGGTCACATGAAGGCTCACCTCTCATGCTACTGTATGTAACTCAGCAATGGGACTCGTGCAACATGATTAAGCACGTGCTGAACTTTACACTGCCAGTATAATCAACGGCAGGATGGCGTAAGTGCTTCCATTGGGAAGCAGGTCTGCAGCTGTGGAACAATTTATAACATACAGGTTGTTTTAGTGGATGGATTTACGTAGGAAGCCCATTTTGGGCTCACTATAAACACTGTAGAAATTTGTAATGCCATATTAAGATTGGTCTGAGTGAAACATGAATGAAATGCTTGTGTCTGGAAGCTTCAGAGGACACATGGAGCAAAGGTTGAAGGAATGGCCTGTTTTGCAAGTCAGGGACATGAATGACAGCAGCCAAACCAACMAGCAGTGAGGAGTGTGCTGTTTACATCAAGACCACAAGACTATCTACTCCGATAAGGCGACTCYGATAAGGCAACTCACCACTCGCAAACCCGTGTTCTGATAACATGGGTTTGGATAACGTGTCTTCCCAACAGGAAGACGGTAGCCATAAAGATGGCAAAACAAAGAAATAGAGACAATAGTCAGAAACTTTGCTCAAGCTTAATGGAGGATAAGGCAAACAAGGTTCTGAAGCAAAATTACCCTGTAAAAACTGCTTGCCCCAAGAAAGCATAAAAGACCTGTCCAAAAAATAGTTTTTGGTTACCAGTCGAGAGACTCAACATACTTAGTGAAGACTCAACAGCTGGTGTCCTCTGTGCTGCATACAAATGACCATGACCAGACCATTTGGGCACAAAAATCTTGATGCTTAGAAGTACATGAGATTCACCAACTTGTATCCAACTTTCTGTATTATGTGTGTGAATCTTCACTGCTAACCATAAGAGTCTTACTGATAGTGAATCCAGTATTTCCACACAACGTATTTTTGAGGCATCTGAGGTAAAAATTTTTCCAGTGAAAGGAATGCAAGTGCCTTCAATTTAATTGTTTTTGTCAAGTAGTGTTTTTCTTTCCATTTCTTTTCAGATTCATGGCACTAAGTTATTGCAGGCCAGCAGATCAAAGGCCTTCATTGCTCCTCCCTGCAAACACACAAACTGCAATAGAGTATATGGTTTTCCTGCAGACAGAGGAGACCAGGGAATTTTGTGAAGCTCTTTGGCTTAATGAAGCCGTATATTGACACCCCTAGTGATGAACAAAATTCTCTGTATTTGAAAAATCTCAATTATGAAGAGATTATTTCACTGGGTTCAGAGAACTCATTTCCAAGAATAGCTCTAGTCCAGCCTGACAACACAGAGATGCTTCCACTGAGACCTCATAGGAAAAAGCTGTTGCCTTGTGTACCAAAACACATGCACTGTCCGGTGCAGTTGAGGTTATTCTTGGCATGAACAGAGGCTACTCTTGCTCCTATCACGCCAAGTGTGAGTTTTGTTATTGATTTTCCTGGATACATTCAGCCAGACACCAGATTTGCTTTGCTAGTTTTATTATATAACCATTCTTTTCTTAAGAAAAAGAAATAATTTTTATAGACTTAATACATAGTTCATGAAATGAATCRTTGGCAGGCCTTTCTTGGCAATATTATATATTTACAATCTCTGGTGTTTGTACATGCTGGTGAAATACTCCATCGCACACAGTTGGTTAAACATGTTTTTTAACATGTGTGCACAACTTTTCAGCAAAGGAAGTTCTTTAACATTCTTCATTGGATGGAGGAAAGTGGGTGCCAAATAAAACTGTGAAATGGGAAACAATGCACAAAGGAAAAGTTCCAGAACATCAACACATCCGTTCCTTTTCCCTGCCTTAAATAACCAACACACCCTTAAAAGCAAGACTAAATGGCTCCAGGAAACTCTCATTAATGCAAATGTCCTAACTGGGCTTCTCACTTTCATTTGAAATTTGAAGTTTTTTGCTGATCTAGACAGCTGATAAGTTGTTCTCCAGGTAATATTAAGTATTAAGACAAACTAGCTGGCCTGTTATCCAGAGAGAGTTAAACCTTATCCTCTCACTGCTCAAAATATTAATATTGAAAAGCAGATTCCTGCTGCTATTAAAATGAATGAAAAATCCTGCACTGAGTTTATAAAGACGCAGTGTGTGTTCCAGCATCTGCTCTTCAGTTATCTGGAAACCAGATAAGGCAGAAAACAAACTAAATGACCTGCATATATGTAGTATATGCCATTAAGTTTTACTTTAAAATAAAATACCTTGGATATTTTACAGGGATTTACAGAGATCACATCATGAGGCAGGATGCAAAAACGACATAGTTTCTGCAGATCAGAAGACATAGGTTAAAGTTAATTAAACCAGCCTTTCATCTATGGGACGTTTATTTTAAATTAGCAAATTAACAGTATGGCAAACTGATATTGAAACTTGTAATCTGTAGATTGGTGCTAAATAGCCACGTCAAGACAGTTTCTTAACTTCTGACTGAGTCATTAAAGACTGAGTCATTAAGTACAAACCAAAACCCAAATAACTTCAGGAACTACCCATATCTCTGATTTATCCTGCCAGGTCTTCTAATTTTGCAATCACATTTTCCTGCTTTTAACAAAACCTCTTTCCCCACTTCTTTCCATGAGTGTCTGTGGATTACAAAGCTGCCCCACTAACTATGAAAAGGAACAGCAAAACTGACTTTTGTTTGGTTTTGTCGTATAGAAAATACAGACCTGCATCTACTGATGGTACAGATGCCCTGCTTAACAGGACTTCTTGCTAAGTGAGAAATCTGTGAACCTTTACTAAGGGTTAAATATGAAATATTGATCTGTAGAAAACATAAGCAGCAAATTTCACTTAAAATTTGTGATGCTTTCAGAAGTAAGTTCCTGCAATCCTTTAGTGGATGTAAAGGGATGTGGGTCTGTCATTCACGGCACCTTAGAGCTGCATCCTTAAGAGCGTCTCTGCAAAACTTAGATCCAGACTCAAGGGAGGGCACCAGGCTCCAATTTGTAATGTCTGGAAAAGGAGAAAGGCAGAGGTTGCCCTCTGTTGCATGGATTACACACAAGGATATGGCACCTTCTCTCCAAGACTTTAAGTGCTGTGGATGTTCCCGATAATGCTGTTTCCTCACAGGACTGCTGGGTTCCCTGGCATTCACTGCAGCTCCAGGTACTGTTGGGTAGAAAGAGGTCAATGGGGCTTCAGGGCTGGAATGGGAGCAGGGAATTAATGGTCTGGGCCACCAAGGCGCCAAACTTCTTGGAGTGCACAGTGGAATTCAGACCCCAGAATCAGGCGTCCTGCAGCCGTTCTGTGTGCGGAGAGATTTGGGCAAGGGGACTGAGAAGAGCTGACTGATGTGTTGGGTACAGAGCTGTTTAAACCTATCTGGCAGGAGATCACTAAGGACTCAAAGTAGCCCTTAGGAATTATAGATATTTTAATATATTTCAGGAGGAGACATCATCTTCTGCCAAGCAACTTGAGCTTTTAATGCAAGTCTGTTTGGTGCATACATAGTGACGTTTTAACACAAAGTTTGTTTGTGTTATATACATAACACATTACATAGCGCATATATAGTGCTATTTAATACAAGTCTGTATAGGACAAGCAGCTATGATTCACAGCCCATGGCTTTTTTCCAAATGCATTAAAAAARAAATCCCGGGAATGGTGTGTGCATAACGAAACTTCAGGAGACCTTAAGAAGGTGACATAGGCCAATGGAAAGAGGACTGTCTCAGGATCCAAAGTCTGAAGCTGTGTGTGCTCTTAAATGAGAAAACCGTGGAATCATAGAATYATTAAGGTTGGAAAAGACCCTCAAGATCACCAAGTCCAATTGTTAACCCTGCACCACCGTGCTGCTAAACTATGTCCCTAAAAGCTAAACTTATGTCTCTTGAAGCATGACCTAACTGTTGGGCTTATGCTTCTCTTGGCTGATGCTTCACTTCTCTTTGCACAAGCAAAGATACTACAAAGAAGGGAAAAGGTTGGATTTTTTTTCTTCTACAGAATAGCCTCTGACTACTTAGGCTGAGCAGGGAACATGCAGGATGGCAGGAGTTAATGATGAACCTGCAGTCCATATGCTTATCCAAAACAGGACACAAGTTTGGAGCCAGGATCTGCAGTTACTTGAGGCTCCYTATCATCTAACATCTGAGAACGCCTGCAGCAATGTGGAAAACCCCTGTAGGAACATGAAGGCAGAAAAATGCAAGGAAAACTGAGCAGCTACTTGATTTTCCCTGTATCGCTGCGGTTTACTGGGAAACAAGGGAGGAGCCACAGACTTGCCAGTTCTCCTGATTTTATGGGACTCATATATATTTTTTAAATTGCCTGACTCTTGAGACTGTGGGATTGTAGGGATTTCCAATTTTATTTAAAAGGGAGGCTGGCATGGAGCTGTTGTGGCTTCAAAGAAACGCTGGAGGTCAAGCCCCTGACCTCAGGCACTGGAGGCAAACAGAGAAAAGGAACCAAGGCCCTTCGSGGCCACCACTTCAAGCAGTCACGCAGAACCATTTGCTGGGGTGGATATTGGCCCATGCCACGGAGAGAACCCGCAGCGCTCAGATCTGCAGCTCAGTCTAGCCCAAACCATGCTGCTAGGAGCTCGTCGGGGACCGACGGGGCCGCTGCAAAACCCGTAACAACTGAGCCGCGCCTAACGCCGGGTGAGGACGGGCAGAGGAG